TTATAGATGAGAAAATCAAGCAAAGCATAATTAATTCTCCTAAAGTTGTAATCATCCCTAATACAGAGATCAAAGATACTCTATTGCAATCCTGGGAGTAAGGGAGCAAAGCAGCAAAGCAAAAGTTAACCTCAGTCTCCAAATGACACAGCACATCAGTGATAAAGCTCCTTCTAGCACAGTGCTAAGAAACTGATTTAAGATTAATCTATCGAATATGCCCATGTCTCTCAAGTCTGTAGGCAGATGGATGTGCCACTAAGACAGATGATGAACTGTCATCCTCTGATGTCACCAGCCTTGCCACTTGCAATCAGAGCAGCACCAAAATAGTGATTAACTGGTGAGAACAGAGGTTGCATGAGGTACATATGAGACTAAGATCCTGTCACTGTGGGAAAAATCTTATCCTTTCAAAACACTGAGCTTCTCCAATAAGCTGGAGGTTAAGAAAAATCCTAGAAAACAACTGATGATTCCATCAAATGTACAAGGAACTCAAGGCTGAAACGTCTATTTTGCTTGACAAGAAAAGCAGACGCACTGAGAGGGAGACAGTAAAATACATTAGCTGCAGACTTAGTGAGAGGGTATCAGAAAACATTTAGAGTTTTCAGAAAACTTTCTTTATAATCCCAAAATCACATAGAAGGTACTTATGGCAAATCTCTGGCTGGCTTTTCTTGCCAGAAACAACTGCAGGTTACCAAAAAGTCAGCCCTATCAAAGACCTGCATCATCATCATCATCATCACATATCAAACGCTTGTATTACCCCAGGGAAACAAGTCCACTACCCTCAAAGACCTGAGGGATGTGGTTTTGATGGCCACTACATCCGAAGTCAATGGTTAGTTACCATAACCATTGCATATCCAAAATTTCAATCAAATATAATACAATCACAGAGCAGCAACAATTCAGCTTTAGTGTAGAGAAAGAATCTCACCACTGTTCTTCATGGAATCACTAATATTCAGTTTTTTTGACGGTTTCACAATATGCCAGATTTCTTTGCAATTGTGCATGATGTGCTTCCCAGCACATCTGCACAAAAGCACTACTGATGTGCAGGGATGTCGCCTGCAGAACGTGCAACCAGGGAAACATCACAAATTGATTACTGTAAGTGCAATACAACAGATTATAATGCCAAAAAGAGCACATTTTTTGCCCTGGGAGCTACAGGGAACCAGAAGCTGAATATAATGCAGCATCATCCTATAATGACAACAAAGGAACCCAGGATGTCTGAGCAGGAGGAGAGCTCCAAGGCACAGGATATTCCTCAGCTCTGTTCAATGCCAGTTGAGGCACATTCCACAGAGAAGTGGTTCCATGAGAGCAAGCTCATAGTCTGAATGACCAGTAATCCAGAAAGTACAACAAAAACTTAGGAAAAGTTCAGAAAAACTGGAGCCATCCAGGCTTTGGAGGAACTGGAGTGTGCATTTCTGCAGCAGAACACCAAAGAGATGAAACACACCATGAAATACAGCCAGAATGCTAACACTGCTCGAGGCCAGGAGGCAAAACAAGGTCATGGCCCCCTCCAAGCCTGTGGTGATGTGTGCTGCAGGCCTGAGACTCTCCACTGGGCCCTGCAGAAGAACATAGTTCACCCAACTGACCCATGACAACCAAGCAGACACATGCTCAAGTGACATCTGGGTACAAGACAACACAACAAATCTCAAAACCAGAAGCTTATTAAACTTTTTTTCTCCTTCTCCTTTGAGATTTCATCATTCTCCACTATTTTAATATAGTTGCAGGAATTTGAAATACATGTAAAAATTCATCATTACAGCTATTTTCTCCATACTAGTTTCACAGTGAACTCTATACAATACCTTAAAACTCCAGGGTAAGTTGTCATCTGCTCCATCCACTACACATTTAATTTCTCCTCATACCAGACTTCCCAACGTGCTCCTGCTTTGTCTCTTTTTTTGTACCTCCTGATGAGGAGCAGCTGAGGGAGCTGGGGAGGTTCAGCCTAGAGAAAATGAGGCTGAAGGGAGGACCTTACCACTCTCTACAACCACTTGAAAGGAGGGTGTAGCCTGAAAGGTGGGGGATGGTCTCCTCTCCCAGGTAACAAGCAACAGGACAGGAGGAAATGGCCTCAAGTTGCACGAGGAGGAGGTTTAAACTGGATATTAGAAACAATTTCTTCACCAAAAGGGAAATCAAGTATTGGAACAGACTGCCCAGGGAAGTGGTTGAGTCAGCCACCCCTGGGGCATTTAAAAGATGTGTAAATGTGGCACTTGGGGCCACGCTTTAGTGGCGGCCTCAGCCGTGCTGGGTTAACACTTGCCTCGATGATCTTAAAGGTCTTTTCCAACCTAAATGATTCTGTAAAGAGAAATGACTAGATGAAAGCCACAGGCTAAGTATGAGAGATACACTTTATCCTCAGTAGCAACAGAGTTTTTAATACATCAGGGATGACTGAGGGATATTGATAGCTGAAAGGTTTGCTCATTTTAGTTCACTTCTACAGGAAATTTTTTTGCTAGATTCACTTTTGCAAAAGTCAAAGTGTAACAAAGTTATTCTCTGTAGGGTTATTGACAAGAAAGAAAGAGCTGTAAGTAGTATTGATTTGGGGTGAAATGGTAGAATGTGACAATCAATAGAGCTTAGTCAGATATAAGATAGACGAAGACACACAAGTCATTACAGGATTATTACAGGAGACAAATCCTGTATCAGTCAAGGAAGGGAAGAATCTGTAAATGGGATCCAAAATATAAGCTGTAGATTGCTTTTTAGAAAAAATAACCCTAAATTATTCATTTTAATGTTTTAATATGTGAGGCAGTTTTTATTTCAGCATATTGTCAGTGCTGTTTTTCTAAAGCTTTTGAAACTAATTCTTTCCACCTCATAGTATTTTCATTAAATGTCATCAAAACTCTTTTCTAATCTCTGAGAGAAGTATGATTATCTTCATTTAACAGATAATGAGAAGATAGAAGGAGACTGGAGCTACATTTTCCAAACTAGTCAGTAATGCCACGTGCCTTGTGTCTAAATACACAGATCCATAAAATGAGTCCTACAGAAATGAAATTTTCAAAGGTACCAGAAAATCACAACTTTGGTCAACAGCTGCATACAGAGTTCCCAAACTCTGGGTCACAGGCTGGGGAGCCAAAAGCTGAGCCCCCACAGCAAACACAGCAAGCTACATAAGTACAGTGAGCCTGCTCACAGATACAACAGAGCCTAAAATAGGAGGGATGCTAATTCACAGTCCTCTGCTCTAATTACAAAGCTCATTATTTTTACCACTCAAATGACTCAGGGTGAAAGAAACCCAACAACTGCATATTCTACCACATGAAAGGACTTTGCTGGGATTTATACAGTGCCTACCTTCTGAGCACAACCACACCGGAAAATAATAGCAACAAACAGAACAGCAATGAATGTTTTTCACTAGTGATTATGCCCATGAACAATCATTCAGTGCATTGCCTTTTCCTAGACTCTGTCCAAAAATACCCCCAAATTATTGAAAGATACTAAAGTGATTTACAAATGAAATTTGATACAGAATTAGTTACACCACTGAGGTGAAAGGCAGTGGCATTAGTAACGATCAGCATCGCACAACAATTTATTGCAGGCTAGGATGAAAACTATTCAATTTGAGGGAGATATAAACCATATTTTGAAGAACCTTTTGCACTAGTTGGCCAAATAAGTGCTAACAATCAAACTGTGGGATATGCAGAGCCTCAGGGGGGAGGGGGCCTTGGAGCAGCTTCATTTTTATGAATGGAGCCATAAGAAGGTTAGAGAAGGAAAGAAGCATGCACAACTCCAATCCCAAGAAAGGCACAGGACAGGCTGAATAGGGCGACGACACTGAAACATGAACTGCCCAGGAAATCAAGGTTGCACAGTTGTAATAAAATAAATCTTAAAAATAAAAAGGCAATGATTTCTAAAGAGGGGTATGTAGTGACTGCAATGGTTTAAAAGCTTTTTTAGCTGGAATCACATTTGCAGTCACAGGATTTCTATTGGAAAATGGCATTATCGTCTCCAGAGAGAAATATAGAACTGAATCAGGAGGAGGATGGACAAGATGACCTTTTGAAGCTCTCTTCAGCCATACTCCTGTAAGTCCATATTCAGTGACAGAAAACACATCTGGACTAGAGCTGTTGTGGCTTAGGCATTCAAGTTAGAAAATTTTGGTATAAATCTTTGGCATGAGAAGAAGAAGCTCAAGCAATTTTTATATCCGGCTCTGCCTGCCATTAGTGATGTGATTCAATCATAAAAATGGCTTATTCCCCCAACACAAATATATAATACCATGCTGGAGTAGGAATGAGAAGCTGCTCTCATATCACAGCTAAGTACATTTTGCAGCAAAGCAGTTTACTTTAAGATTTTTCCAGTAATCCAAGTCTAATTATGAAATCAATTTAAAACAATTTTGTAATTAAATGTACCTCCTGAAATGTCTCACAGGCTCAATAATTTAAATTATAGTGTTAAAAAGGTAATTAAAATTAAAAAGGCCAATTAAGGCTGGGTCGCTCCTCCACTAGGAGAGTGCTGAAGGAGGTTGCATTTACAAACCCGAATCGCCACCTTTCTCTCCAAATTCCTGCTTTCCCCAGCTGCACGGGGATTTTGCACCGAGAGTCATCCAAGAGATGTCGGAGCCGACCACGGCAGGGCAAGGTTTTGAGGTTTTTTTTCCGCTTTAGATTCAAAAAAATTATGCTGTTTCAAAATGAAGCAGTACTTACAGAGAGCCAGTGCTCCCTCCTGCCGGCGGTCCCCACGCAGGGTGCCAAAAGCTGCGCGTCCCCGCGGCGGGCACGGGAGGGGGTGGGGGGCGCAGGGGGGTGAACTTTCCTACTCTCCTCGGGTCGGGGCTGCGGGGTCGGCTGGGGATGGGGTGGCGCGGGCCGGGGCCGGGCGGAGGAGGGGACCGGGGACGGGGCCAGGGCACCTCACTCACTCACCGCCCGCCGCCAGCCCCGGGCCGAGGCTCAGCGCCAACTGCAGCCACAGCGCCGCGGCCAGCGCCCGCCGCCGCGCCGCCAGGAGGGCACCGCCGCCGCTCGGCTGCTTTCCATGACACATCTTCTGCCCGCCAAAGGCATCCGGTTCGCCGCCACCTGCAACGAGAGAGCCGCTCCGCTTCGCCGCTGCCCGGGGCTCCGCGCCGGCTCCGCGGGTGGCCCCCGAGCCGGCCCCCGCCCGCCCGGGGACGCGTTCCCGCCCGCTCCGCCGCCCTCCCGGCCCCGCGGCTCCGCTGGCCGTGACCCCCGCCGCCGCTACCTGCGGGGCCCCCCCCCGCCAGAGCCAGCGGTACCTCCGCGGCTGCTGCCGCCGCCTCCGCCGCTGCGGCTCGGCAGCCTGCCGGGGCCGGGCGGAGCGCACACGCATACTCACACACGTTCACACGCCACACAGGCGCACAGGGACTCCTGCGCACCCTGCAGCCGGCCGGCCCTACCTGCCAGCGGGGCAGGCAGCGGCAGCCGCAGCGCGCACCGGCCCGGCCCGGCCGCCGTGGAGCGGAGGCGCGGGGAGCCGCGAGCCGCGGGCAGCCCCGGCGCGCCAAGCACGCATGGCAGCCGCGGGCACGGCCGAGCCGCCGCTCGCGCTGTGCCGCCCGGGCAGCCCGGCCCGCAGGGGCAACCCCTGTCCCGGGCCGGGAGGCGCCCCATCACTGCCAAGGGTAGGGGAAGGGGAAGTTAAGGCTTCGCTCCCGGTCGTTTCTGCTCATTTTCACCTCAAACGGGGTTTCATGGTACACAGCACTGACGGAGCATCTTTGGAGTGTCCTGTGCTTTGTCACGTAGACAGAGCGTTAGATACGAGACACGGTTTAGTAGCGCTGGTGCCAGTGCCTCATCTTTCACAGTTTTTGGGAGTGGGAAGGTGTATTCCTGAGCACTCTCACCCATCAGCTGCCTCTGGGGAAAGGCAGGACGCCTGGGCCTGCCGGCTGGAGCAATTTACTGTTACGAATCATCATCCAGCTATATTTAGTGAATCTGTGAAATTCACAGCCACGAATCACTGAATCAGAGACTCGGTCTCGTGGCTCCAGCAGCTGTGGTAGCTCTGTGTTTCCTGGTGCCATTCCACAGCTGGGCATTGCACCTCTTCCCTTGCTCAGAGGTAGCAGAGGGTGTCCTTTAGCTGAAAAGGACTCTGCTAAGCAGGTTAAGGTGTTTGGCACACTCCTGAGACACAGCAAGGGGAACAAAACCAGGGACAAGAGAATACACATTTAAATGAAACATGCCTATGCTTAGTACAAACACAGACCCAAAGGCACGTGAACATAGCACATCCTGATGCTTCAAAGTTAATAATAAATACTGGTAACACTGAAGTTCTTTTCATGTGTCTCAGCTATCTGATGCTCATTCCTCCAAGTTAAAACTTAAGGCTCTTCAGGATAGATTTTAGTTCAAATCATGTATCAGTTCAAAGGCCAGTGTAAGAAGCATAGTACTTTATCTCCCCTGGAGAAAATGGGCATCTCACAGTGAAATGCAGGTATTCTGCTAAGAATAGGGAAGTACTGGCCAATTTTCAGCTATGAGAATTTTGCTGCTCCCTTTAAACAGGAAAATTTGGAAACTATAGAGCATTTTCACCAAGCATCATTTCCTGATCAGGTCAATATTTATGTCCCCAGCCAGCCCAAAGAGGGAGTTCAGAGCAGTAATAGCTCTCATGTGCCGTGCAAACACAGCACAGGCACAGTTACATGATAGAGATATTCTTCAGAGGCAATAAGCCATTGAGTACTACAAGTGGTAGGACAGAGCAATAATGCAGCAATTCCTGTTATCTGTAATAAGAGGATCTTTATGGTACTGATTTGGTAGCTTTCATTTTTGAAATCAAAATAGCAAAAGATAATGTCGTGAGCAATCTGACACTATTCATGTTCTCCATCAATTGAAATGCAAAGTGCTGGATGCAATGTCTACCTTCAGTGTGGATGGAGCACCCAGACACTTCTGAGGAGGAAGAGGCAACTCATCTGTCAGTGTTGATGGGTATTACTTAACCTTTGTTTCTGCCTTGTTTCTATCCCCACCTCTGACACCATTCAGCTTGAGGAAGGATGACTGAGTGCTCCAGACCCCTGTCAACCACCCCATGTGAGTGGGAGCACCCCTGCTCCAAACAGCACCAAGAAATCAAGGTTTTCTTGTGCAGCAGCTCTTCTTCAAAATCTTAATGAAAATTCTCGTCTTGCTGAGCAGAGCATGTGTGTGCAAGGTGGTGACAGTGGCTGAAGGGTTGGGCCCCCAGTGGCTGAAGGAGTTTAGCAGGAATCTATGTCAGCCAGGAGCAGGGAAGGACTTCTGCAGCCCGGGAAAGCCTAAACTGAGTGAGGAGCAGCGAAAGGTGGAGGAGGATGAAGCCTGAAGCAACCCCAGCCACAGATAGGCAGAGGGGAAGGAGCTGCTTTGCTTTGGCTTGGACTTTGTTTCTGGAAGGGATGGATGGATTGCCTGAAGGGCTACAACCACTCTGTGACCAAATCTGACATCTGTAATCAATTTTACTGCATGCTCCTTAGCTGAAGTGGGGCCAGAGCAGTGATCAGTGGGCTGGGCCTGAAGCTCTGAGCTGCTGTTACATAGCACAGACTGTAAAATACAGGAGGATTTGTCCCCTGGTCATCCCACCCAGATGTCATGATTTCTGTGCCTTCATACATTTGGCTGCCCCTCCTCTATTTTTTTTAAGCAAGTTACAGATGAGCCTCAAACCTGTGGGGACTAACTCTGAATTGCCTCTGGTGGGGATAAACCCTCCCTGGTCCTGGTACAGACATGCTGCAAACAAGTCCAAGAGATTATGTGACTTTTTTTTTTTCTTGCTTCATATGTACTCACAAAGTTGCTTCCATCACCCTGCACTGCTTCTGCAGCTAAAAATGCCACCTCTCAGAATGAAGATGAAAAGTGCCAGTGCTCATCTGCACCCTCCACACTCAGATTCCTGTTGTTTGAGCCCACGAGCATCAAGGTGGTGGTGGGACCAGGGGGAGATCACGTGTTCTTTGTGACAGGTTGTGGGTGCTGCCATGTGGTGAGAGGTGTTCCTGGCCAGCTTCACTCTCCTTGGAGGAAGAGGCTTCAGCTCTGCTCCAGCTGGTGCATACAGTCAGCTCCTAGCCGTTTCTAGCAAGTGCAGGGTGAGCATCCCAGCCAGATTATGGCTGGCTGTGGGCTTACAGCTCATCTTCTCCTGGGGTTTTGTAATCACCTTGAGAATAAACAATTGTGCGTATAACTCCTGTAGTTGCAGGATTTTAGTTTTGTCTTGCCATACACATTGATCTGCTTCATTCTCTTATTTTTATCTTCTCACATGCCCTCCTTTAGTTGATTATCTTATTCTGAAGTCTGTACTGGATAAAAAGTTAGATTGGAAAATTCAGTTAAATGCATCCAACCCAAAAATTGGCCCCTCACTCCAAACCAAGTCACAAGAGCAGCAATACTGACTCTGCGCAGGACTAGGAGTATGAAGGCATACCCACCCAACACAGCATTTGGCCTTGAGTCCTGGATACAATATAATAATTTCCTCTCTGTGTCAAGAAGTAGGAACTGTCTTTCAAAGCATCCAAGGCAATGTCTTGGATGTCTGTGGCATCACAAGACCAAGTGGTGCCCTTGTAACGTGAACGTGTGTTGCACAGCTGCTGCCATGGCACGTGAAAGTATTTGAGAATGCTCAAAACCCAGGACCAAAATGGGAACAGGAGCAGCCAAATCTGCTGTAGTCTCATTCACACTCACACTGCTCATTGGGAAGGTATCTAGACTAAACTATTTCCAGAACTGCTGACAGGTATTGTTTCAAAGGGAACAAATTCATTCACTCAAAAAAAAAAAAAAAAAGACTAGGGAATAAATGAGCTCACCCAGTCCTCCATCATCCTGACAAGAATGGGAGGAGAACTGGAGAAAAAACAGAAGAAACTCATGGGTTGAGAAGAGAACATGAGTTCTGAGTTTAATAATTGAGATAAGAACAGTTTAATAATTGAAACAAAGTAAAATATAGTAAGGATAACAATGATAGTAATAATTAAACTGAAAAAGATGGACAGAGAGAGAGAGGAATAAGCCCCAAGAGAAACAAGTGATTCACAACACAGTTGCTCACCACCCTCTGAATGATGCCCAGCAATGATTGGTCCCTCCTGGCCAATTTCCCCCAGTTTATGTCCTGAGCATGACTCTTTATGGTGTGGAATATCTCTTTGGCCAGTTCAGGTCAGCTCTCTTGGCTATGCTCCCTCATGGCTTCTTGTTCAGTTCCTTGCTGGCAGAGTATAGGAAACAGAAAAATCTTGATTTAGAATAAGCACCACTCAGCAACAAGTAAAACACCAGTGTGTTGTCAAGACCGTTCTCATACTGAACTCAAAATGCAGCATTTACCACCCCCTAAGGAGAAAATCAGCTCTATTCCATCCAAAAGCAGAGCACTGTGGTAAGAGTCAGCTGGAAAGGAGGTTTTGTCCAAATTCTTGGGTACCTAACACTCTGGTTGGCCCCATTGCATGCATGAGTGGTCATGGGCATCTTTAATTTGCTAGCAAAATGTAACTCAAAATATTGGGTATTAGATTAGGTGTTTGGGGGTTTTAATTATCACATTAGGATATTCCTTCTGCATGTTTTACCTGCTCAAAAGCAAGGCCAGAAGGAATAGTCCTGGTGATGTGGCTGTTGGGTAGGTAAGTTTCAGCCTTAAACTGGACTCCAGAAAGGAGTGAAAAGGAAGTGATGAAGGTTGTAGCTGAGGGTAAAGAGAGAATTTATATTTGACAGTGTGAGACTTTAAAAAAAAAGACCCCAGGGCATGTTAGTGGCAGCTGTATGAGCAAAGGGGTGGTCAGTCCCCAGGGAAAAAAACAGCTTAACACAGAAGTCTGCAATTAATTATTTTAAAATATAAAATGGCAATGACTGGCATTGAGATTTGGCTGCAGAACATTAATCCAGACTGTAAGTACATACTGTTGCAAAACATCCTCCAGACCTTTTGGCCACAGACCAGCTTCCCATTTTATTGGCCAGAAGGAAGAGTTGTTGCTGCCTCAAGCTCACATGTTTTTACTGGTGTAAATACAGTTCTGCACACAAAATTAAGAAAAAGAGCTCAAGCATTATCTTCCAAAATGCAGGGAGTTGCTAAAGGGAGTTCCAAATGCCTTGGAAGGCGCAAAACTATTCAGGGCTGAGATTCATAATGACCATGTTGTGTACTTATGAAAGATAATGGCCTTAGATATGCTGTTCTACTTGTACTCTAAACAGGCTCAAGCTTTCAAGCATTTTCAAGTAAACACTCATTTGTTGAACTCCCTTA